TTTGAATGTCCAGAGGACCAGATTGAACTTTTTTGGATAGCACAAGAAGACAAAAGCAAAGCAGGAATGACTTTTTGAAGGAATTCAAGAGAGCTCATGTATTTCTGTTCGGAAAATATTTGTAAATAAAGTTTAAAAAGTTTTCAAAATCAAGTCAAATCAACCGTCTGTCGAATGAGCTGAATATTTTGTTATATGAATGGCTAAATTAACACCAACTATACAGAAATAGTTTGCAACAAGGCATACAAAAATAAAATAATAAACAGGAAAGCGTTCACATCTTCAGACACGTGCCAAATCCTGGATATTTTTTAAAAGAGCTATTATATGTGGTGATTATATTAACATTGTGTGCCTTCTTTTCTACCAGGCTTTCATCTATGAAGACGAGGAGCAGACCCGCTCACTTCCTCCCAACCCCTTCAATGAGCTAACAGAGAAGGTTCTGGAAGAATACAAGAGCATCATAGAAAAAAAGAAGCAAGGCCAAGAAGGTCAGATACTTTCTTCCATTTACCGTTTCTAAAACAGCTGGGTCATCAGCTTGTTGTCTGTGCATTTTATTCATCCATCTAGAGCTGTTCATTTCTGCTGGGAAGAAAATTTAGGAATAGAAGAAGCTTCCAGAAAATAATAATAGTGTGAATGTTTATGAAGCATTCACAATATTGTGATCTATGTATTTTTCTTCTGTATGTTTTTCGGCATCATTCTCGTCCAGCAGTTTTCAAGCTATTTCCACAAATCATAAATCAAAACATTCAGCTCTTTCAGGGCAATCCTGGTTTGACTTTTGTCATTGGTGTAACTTTGGCTTTTTGCAATATTTACTCTTTTCTGCCACTTTTTTCTCATAGACAATGAATTGAGCTCATTTTACATCTTTCAAATCTTTAGATCTGTTTACTACCTTTTACTGCTCCTTTCACATTTTGTTCTGGTTCAGCTTCTTTCAGCTTCCTTGTGCAAATTTAAACTTTTTTCAGCTACTTTCAGCTAATTTCAGCTGGGGGGGCGGGGGTGTTGTTTGTTTGTTTTGTTTTTTTCAGGGGGGGGGGTGCTGCTTTCAGTTTCTTTCTGCTAACTAGAACATTTTTGTGCTTCTTCTGACTTATTTTTGCTAATTTCAGCTTGTTATGCTCCTTTCAGCTTATTTCTGCAAGTTTCTGCATTTTCTGCTATTTCAGCTACTATTTAGCTGTTTTAAGCTAATTTTAACCTTTTCAGCTATCTCCACTTTTTTTGCACTCATTTTAACTTTTTTCAGCCTAATTCAGCAAAAATATGCTCTCTCTACTTCCTTCTCATAATTTAAGCTTCTTTCTGCTTTTTAGCTACTTTTCTGCTAATTTAAGCTTCTTCCAGACAACAAAGTCCATGCTCAATAATCCTTAATATTCTTCCAGATAATTTCCACTTATTTGTGCTAATTTCTGCTTCCTTCAACCTAATATGACACAGTTTTGCTCTCTCCACTTCCTTCTGCTAATTTAAGCTTGTTCTATCTTTTCAGCTAACTTTTTAGCATTTCTTAGCTAATTTCATCTGTTTACTGATAAATTCAAGTTGTAATAATTTCTGCTGCTTTCAGCCTAATGAACTTCTTTCTACTAATTTCAGCTTGTTATGCTCCTTTCAGATGATTTCTGCTTTTTTCTGCTTTTTCAGCTACTATTTAGTTGCTTTGTGCTAAATTGAGCTTTTTCGGCTAATTCCACATTTTTAGCTAATTTCAGCTCCTTCTACTTCCTTCTGGTAGTTTAAGCTTCTTTCTGCTTTTTCAGCTATTTGTCAATTATTTTTACCTAATTTCAGCTTTTTAGCTAATTTCCTATTTTGGGGGCTCATTTCCACCTATATGAACCTAATTCAACAAACGTGTTCTTTCTGCTTTCTTCTGCTAACTTATGCTTAGGTTCTTCCATTTCAGCTACATTTTAGCCTGTTTTTAGCTCATTTAAGCTGTTTTTCAGCAATAAGCTTCACACTGTATTTTCACAGGAAATACAATCTCTAGTATTATTTGGCTTTGGGCTGTCAGTCCTCAGTTTCTCTTCCTCTGGGCTGTGAAGTCAGCTCCCGTGATGTGAGAGCTGAGCAGCAAAGACTTCAGTCTTGTCAAACTTCTCATGTGTTGGTTATGACGGTTTCCGAGGATGAAACGTGTGTGTTGAGTAGCGAAACACCTGTGACTGCATCTTCGTTTCACCTTTTTATCGTGTCTCCCTTTTTATTCTTAATAACACGTCAGTCCTGGAGCATGTCAGCTAAAACAGATGAATGAGCTCCGATAAATCACCCCTTTCCGTTACTTTGGGGTTTGATTTGTCACGCTAACAGCGTGGGTGAGAGAACGACTTTGAAAGAGATTGAAATGTCTGAGTAACTCCGACTGAGGGACGACATCTTGAATGTCATCTTTAAATCTTTGACAGAGGATGATGATGCCACTGATGCTGACGAGATGACCACATTTGACGGCTCCACTATCTCCCTCTCCCTCTCTCCTATCATGACACCAGTGAAACAAGGTAATTATCGACGACTGCTGAAGGTGAGGGTGGAGCAGAAACGTTTTTGCCCATATCTGTGTGTGTTTGTTTGTCATTGCTGTTAGCAAAATATTTTATGAATTGTAGGTTTAACTTTTGAAGTCCGTCCAATTCAGTATCCCTGCCACAGCGAAGTAATCTTAACAAACACAAAAACGATTACAACTCCGCCAATTATCGTGTGATATTCGTGTTTAAAGCATTTGCATTTACCGTTAGACTTAACCCCGTTTGTCTGTTAGCAAAATATCTCATCAACCACAAGAAAGATTTTAATGCAACTCTCAAAAAGTAATGATTGGAGGCACATCTACAACTGAATAACTTTTGGATGCAAACAGATTCAAGATGGCTGCCGCTGTCAGCTGATCTTAGAAAACACTAAAGTATCTATAATTCTGGCAACTTTGCTGATATTGGACTAAAAATTGGTGTGTTGGTAGCTGAGCATTGTCCCTAACACATAGTTTAGCAAAACCTCTCCTGAACCAGTGGACATATTTTAATGAAACTTTCAGAGACACTTTCTTGGTTTTACATCTACAGCTGATTCCTGTTTGGAGTTAACTCAAATCAAGATGGCTGCCGCCGCTAATTGACTCTAGCCAACACAAAAATATCTACAACTCTTGTCAGTTTTACAAATACTGAGCTGAAGTTTGGTGTGGTCGAAGCAGAGAGTCGTTCACAGCATGTGGTACAAGTGCTTACAAATCATGCCAGATTAAGCAAAATTGCATGAGATTGAGCATAATTTTATTTTCAAGGTTTAACCAAAATGGCTCTAATTCCATCATTTCTCAATGGAAATGATCTTTGTCTAAAACTGGCATGAATGGAGGCAAGTAATGTGCATTCCTTCGAGGAATGTTAGCCTTGTATAGTTGTTTAAATTTTCCTCACAGATTCACTTTTCATTTTATTGACTGCCTCTTTTCTGGATTTCTTTTTTTATTATTATTATCATTATTTTATCTAGCAGCAGACTCGATACCCAATGGGAAGGACCACTTGTCAGAGCTGGAGGAAGATCTGAGCATCGACGTATCCAAGCTGAGCGTGAGCACTTCAGAAACTGAGCTCTCCATAACAACAAAGGAGAAGACGGAGGAGCCTCAGACCCCGGAGAGCCAAACCAAGTCCCCCAAGAAAAAGAAAAACAAGTTCCGCACACCTTCGTTCTTAAAGAAGAGCAAGAAAAAGAAGGAGGAGAAGGATAAAACAGAAGCTTGAGTGCATTTTCAGTCGAAGCAAGGAGCATTTTGTGGGGAATAAAAATACTAAGAAACTTTCTAAAGTTTGCTTAGAGAGCATTTATACAAGTCCTGCAAATCTCCCTATTTACAACTATTAATGCAAGTTCTTTGAAGATGGCGGTAATGTGCGCAGCTTTGTTCTGATCATTTGGGATTGACCAATGGGAGCTCATTATAGATCAAAAACTAATGGCACAACTGCATTTCTGTTTTTATTTTGTTTTTTCCCAACTTTTTAATGGGATTTAACGAGAGAACGCGCAGCATTTTCACACAGACACATCAGATTGGACCATACATGTTTGTGATTTTTATTATTATTATTAATATTATTGCACAAGTTGTTGAATGTATACCCAGATCTAGGATTTTTTTTAATCATGTTTAGTAATAACACTAATTTGAGTGGATGGAAAATATATATTATATGATGTTTAGCTTCATAAAAATAGGATTTGTATGTGAACATTATCACAGTTATACTTGTGATATATATATATACATATATATAGTAGTCCCTCGCTACTTCACTGTTTGTTTTTCGTGGACTAACTCTATCGCGGTTTTTCAAATTAAGATTAGACATGACACACTGATTGATGGATGAGCCGTACGATCGGCATGAAATTTTTATTTAAAATAAATGATTTTTAATTATTTAACACCTGTTGCACCTGTGTGCAGCCCACAGCTGCAGGAGAAGCTTCCTCCTATATCCGCTCTGAAGATGAGAAGTGGGCGACATTCTGTGCTCTTTTAGAGCGTTTAGAGTTTAGAAACATTGTTTAGAATATTGCAAGTGTGGGAAGGGTTTAAAACGCCTTTATAT